TATATCTAAGCCTGACAATATAGACTAATGACTGCACCCAACTGGGGTAGGTTCCGAAATAGATAAATCAAATCCGTACTACGACAAGAAGCGCAGCTTCCAGATAAACAGCAGAAGTAGATGGATGTAACTTTAATAGTAAATACAGTCCTGTCGCCGTGTGTTTAGAGGCATACTGTTTTTCCTCACCCCCGGGGGGGGGGGGGGGGGGGAGGAACCGGTACGGAGTACACGGAGCAGTGAGGCATTACCTAGGTAGATTTACTTTTGACACTAAATCTGTTTGTTATCTACGTAGTACTTACCCAGCGGTCCCCTCCATGTCTATCATGAATCTCGACTCGAAAACGCTTGACTCCTTGAGTCTGGAGCTCTTAAGAACTCATGGGCAACCCCACTTGGAGGCAGAGGAAAGTTCTGGGAGCCACCCAGATTACCTAAGGAAGAGAAGAGTCACCCAATGAGATCATGACGCTGTTGGTTTTTCCCCACTTGACTAAGGTAGTACCTTAGTATCATCGACACCATGAGATAGATGGTCGCAGCGGCAGGTGGTGATGCTTTGTTAAACATTCACTACTCTGTAAAAGTAATCAAAGGCTCAAAACTACCTTACCTTTATCTACCATAGCGTCCTTACCCATGGGGTACTTCCATACTGAGAGTACACACCCATCTACCTTGGGATGCATTTGTCCTCTATAAGTTATTGTGTGGCAATTTCTCTATCTCAGGTTTACGCGCTCAGTCCATCAGTATCAACCTTCTAGTACCTCTGGCCCCCTCGACTCAAGTTGAAATCAAAACTCTTGATTACTCCGTATCTATCTACCTTACTGTCTGAGACTCCGAGACCGAACTCAAAACAAATAGAAAAGAGGGGAATAAGGAACATGCAAACTGCAAACAGACATTAGCATCTCCACTTCCTCCGCCATGACCTCTTCCCTGTTTTGCCTTTTTCGAAAAAACCGCCACTTCCTATCGATAACTACTACGGACTACGGACTAGATACTCTGTACTAACTAAACTTATCCGTCTTCGACCCCTGCCCGGTGTCCACTGATGAATTCCAGACCTTCGTTTGAAGAAGGCGAGGCATGAAGGAAAGAAGGATGAGAACCAAAGGACTTTGACGTTATTAACATCAAAACACTCTGACAAAGTACCTCCCCGTCTTAGTCGTCCCTCAAGTTTCCAAAATCTCTCATGATCGACTATGCTCTCCGATCTATAAGTTCCTCCTTCGCATATGCTTGAAATCTGAGTTGCTCTCTCGGATCGTCCTCAATTGAATCGGCCTTTTTCCTTTTCTTCTTTTTCTTTTTGTTTTCTCTTTCCTGCCAGGCCTCTCTCTTGTTCAGTTGTATCCGAGCTCTCAATTAAAGTCGTCATCCCATTTGCACAATTTTGTCTTTATTCCGACTCTCTACCCTCAGTATGATGATTGCTGTGCCGCCTATCTCGCAGGAAAAACGCTCTCAGTCTCCTCTGATTCCCCAGCGACGCGCCATGGCCCAAACTTACTACCTGGACTCACCCGATATTGCCATGTTCAAAAATACCCTTCACCATTACTCCCAACGAGATTGTCCCAGTCCGATCACTTCCTCTGCCCCGTCCTCGATCCCTCCCTCACCCCACTTCGCACCGACAACCGAGGAGCAGCTACCTCCTACTCCAGCAACACTCAGCAGTTTGTCTCTCTGTGTGAGCAATGATAGCGACGACGAGATCATCCTACCTTCATATGATTTGAGCGACTTTAACGAATTGGACGAGCCTGTATCAGCTATCGCTTCGGACCAGGCCTCCGAGTCACTTCTCACGGACCCCCCTCGCTTGCATGTACATACACCGGCCGCTGATGATACTTCGGTTGAAGAGGAGCCGTCCAAGCATGTCGATTATCTCTCCCATGAATGGAAAGAGGAAGATATTTGGGCTTCTTGGAAATATGTCGTTTGCCGCAGAGACATTTACAGCAATGGCTCGAGGTTAGAGAATGCCTCTTGGCGGACTTGGGCAAAATTGAAGAATAATTTGGGAACGGTGTCGCCCGAGACCCTCAATTGGTCAGTAAAGCATGACCTCGCATTCCATAACCACGCCAGACCACGCCAGAACTATATTACAGTTGTCTATGTATCCTAACAAGTCTCATCAGGTTGAAAGATTGCGATGTAACATGGCTGTATGGTCCGTTGAAGTCGTGCAACAAATTTACAAAAGCGTTGCCGAGTATCTCACCGCCGCCGAGCTGCCTCGAAACCCCCTCTTTGTATGCGGACAGGAAGCCGATTTTGAAGAAAAGGACGGCGTCAGAGACTATCTTGCAACGCTCGCTGTCTCAGCACACCCTCCTGCAACACGCAGGCGCTATCTTAAAGGCGCAAGAGGCTGGTTCTCATCGGACCCGGCCTTCTGTCTCAGGGCCCGAACTTGAACCTCGCCTGAATACGTCGTCGGCCAACCTTCCATATGTTTCGCTCAGCTATGCCTCTACTAAACAGTCGTCTGGGGTCGCCTCGCCTAGCGGGAGGCGCCGTATCCACTTCAATAACGAAGTAGTGCAATGTATAGCTATCGACGCCAAGGGTGCCGACGACGAGGAGGAGGAGTGGCCAGTAGCTTCAGAAGACGATGTCTCGTCGGACGATGGTATCGTCATGATGAGACAGTTTCCGCCTCAAGAGTCTGGGAGCCATAAAAGTACGCCGCGTGGCAGCTTCAGCAGCGAAAACAAAATAATCGCTCCGCTCCCTCCGACTACCCTTAAGTGTCGAGGGGACACACCAGAACCGCCATCAAGCTCGATGATAGGCCGATGGACAGGATACTTTTCGAAATCGACTGTCACATCTACACCTTCCATTCCTTCTGATCCGGCATTCAGCTTCTTTTTGGACGGTGAGGATGACCATCTGGATTTCTGCTGGCAGCCGAGCCAAAGCCAAGGCGTCAAAGACGGGAATCGGCCTTGGTTTGTGAACCCTGAAGATGAAGAAGAGGTTGACCGACATCGGCATTCGAACTTCAGTACGAGCAACTCTTTGGATGAAGGAGACCCTTCGAATGCCAGCATATTTGATAGGGTTGTTGATACTGTCAACACAGCCAGAGACATTGCTCATGTGATATGGAACGTTGGGTGGCGAAGGTGACATTCTAGAGTGGGCAAAATGGAGCATGTCTTGAGCCCATTCTCTGCTGGATGGGGCATCGTCAGATGCTAATCCGAACTACTTATACCCAGCATATATGGTTATTAGAGGTTTGCATTTTTGTGGCGTTCGACGGCTTTTTTTTTTTTTTTTTTTTTTTTTTTTTTTTTTTTTTTTTTTTTTTTTTTTTTTTTTTTTTTTTTTTTTTTTTTTTTTTTTTTTTTTTTTTTTTTTCTCTTTTTTTTTTCTCCTTTTTTTTTTTTTTTTTTTTTTTTTTTTTTTTTCTTTTTTTT